TTCAGTGAAAAAATTCAGTGACCCTTGAACACTCGGTACATATGGTCTTAGCTATGGTGGTATCTCTGGTTCTTGTGTGAGACCATGAACACTCGAGAAGTGCAGAGCGAGAGTTACAATCACACCGCACCAACTAATGTGATTCATAGCATCAGCGTGTCACCTGCATCGTTGATAAAACAACTACCGCCACTAGATGAAAGTACCAAGCCGCGCGTAGTACCTAAACCACACAAACCGAGTAAAACTATACATACATCCAAAACTCCAGTCTACATAAGCTAGATCCCAGGATCTGTGGTCGGATTGCATGTAATTAGGGACACCTGTCTTCCTTTCTGGGACACCAGTGGCATGCTATGACGCTGACAAAAGCCGCCCTCTCCACGCTGACCTCCGAGTAATCTTGTCGTAAATCACTTATCCTTGTCTCGTGATAATCCATACCCAACACACACACACACACACACACACACCCAGTGAAAGCACTAAAGTGCAAACCTCGGCGAAGTCAGCAGTAGCCTCACAGAGAGTCTGCCCACAGGGCTAAGCTACAGTAGTACGAGAAGCACGCAGACGAGCGAGACACGCCATTTGCGGGACGTCGTGGCCTGTCAGATAGGTACAGAGCAGCGAGCAAACAGACAGAATGACCAGAGTACGATGGTACAGAAGCTGTGCATAAATATAAGCGCATGAGATTATCCGCCAGCTGACTAAAATGACCGCTAAAAAAACATAATACAAAACACAGTACCATACAATGCTCGCAAGCAGCTCTAGCCTCTGACACGGAGCCACGCATTTTCATGAGAAAAACACAGTTCATAATTCTCTGACTTCAATTGCCCGTTACAAACAGGTAGGTCATATCGTTTGTGAGACAAACAAAAGCCAGTCGAGAAGTGACTTCCTTTGTTCATGCGGTACGCGTTAGCTGAACCCTCTGACCCTGAGATCTGTTTCTGAGTCTGACGTAGGGATGGTCATGCTGGTAGCGAACAGACCACGACAGTCGCTAGCTGCGCCCCATGCGCGCCGAGGGTACACATACTGTAACCCTCGCTGCGCACCCCTCATGCGCACCGAGGGTTATTAATAGTAACACCAAAAACTGAGCTATGAAGCAACCGCTTGGCACTGGCCGTAGGCCCGTAGACTAGCTAGCATTGATTATCAGTTGGTTTTCCAAAATCGGTCTCTCCGCAGGAACTGATTGTGTGACAGTGCAACTACGGAGCTCATGGAGAGGTCTGGGTTCAACCAAATGACCAACTGATCAGACCATACGGATTGTGTCTCAGAGCCGTTTCATCTGCTAATCACAGTTCAGGGGTAGTTTTCACATGTTTTTGGCCTGTAAGTGATATGCAGTTTTCATGTTCTTTTCGCACTCCCATTTCATTTGCCCTTCTCTTCTCTCCTTCCTCTTTCTGTATCTCTTTCCTCCCACTTCACCTCGCTTGTTTTACTTACTCACTACCCTTCTTTCTCTTTCTCTCCTTCTCCTCACCTGCCATTCCCCCTCTCTCTCTCTCTCTCTCTCTCTCGGGATGAATAACACCCTTTGCCCTATTGATATGTTGGTACATCATTACCTGTGTACTTGCAGCCTGGGATGGAGGTGCGATAGATTTCCGGGGAGGCCAGTGGGCGGGGATTGAACTGGACGAGGCCACCGGGAAGAATGATGGCTCTCTGAAGGGGATCAGGTTCTTCACCTGCAAACCCAAGTTTGGTGAGTTTGTGACGGGGTGGGGTGTTCATGGAGTGGGGAACCAAGGGAGCAAATTTAAACTTCGATCAGTGGTACATAAACATTTGGGGGCAAAGAAGCAAGGGGGCAAATTGTACAATTAGTGGTAATTTCAGAATAAGAGTTGTTTCCCTTCGTTTTCTAGTTTGCTAGACATTGCGCAAGCATGCAGTGCACATATACTTCCCATTACTTTCCTTATGCCTAGTTTGCCAAACATTTGCATCTGCATGTATATACTCACGCCATGAATGTTAGGAGAGAGAGAGTCAGTGTTGAAGGCAACGGGACCGAAACTCTAAGATACGTCGGCAGTGTCAAGTTTGCTCCTGGGTAATTATGTACTTCAGCGTACATTTCACGTAATCAGCAGAAAATTGGTCGCCTTACTGTTATACGAGGCAACTTTGATAAACCTTTACTCACTCGCACATTACGCTACAATTGTACATCATTGATGTATGGTTTTCCTAATCCATATTATTACGAAACTGAAAGTTAGTGTTGTTTGTGTGTCAGGATAAGGATGGGAGTGGAGTTGGACAATGGGGGAGGAGACAACTCGGGGTCTCACTCCGGAGAAAGATACTTCATCTGTAAACCTGGCCACGGGTATTCCTACCTCCCTCCCAAGGTCAAAAGGTCAGCTGAGAAGATACGTACATTCGGTAAAAAAATGTGCAGCAACTGTGTCGTAGCACGTTTAACCCACACACCTCTCTCTCTCTCTCCCTCTCTCTCTTCTTCTCCAGACTCTCTCCTCTGGCAGTAGCAGCAACCTCCAGTGGCTCCTCCACCAACAGTGGCCCAACTACTGATTCCCAGCTCACTCCTCCCTCTCCTCCCCCTCCCCTCATCCCTCGCCTCCCGTCAACAAACGAAGACTCAACACCTCCAATACCACAAAGTCAGCAGTACACACCTGCTTGCGTCGTCAAAACTGGAAGTTGATATCCACTGAAGCTCACAGAACTATATACTTTATAACAAGCACATAAAACACAATTGGCTGTTGAACCTATGAAAAAAGGCCACCAGTAAAAACATAGCGTTTACCAACCACTTGTTCTGGAGTATAATAATGTATTGCTCAAACTATAAGTCTGCTTTCTTTTCTCTTTCTTCCCTTGCATCCATTTTTGCATTCAGAACTGGACCTCGAGCCAAGCAGCCTCGTACAGTCTCCCTCTCTAACCCGCCATCTTCTTCCTCACTCCCCCACCCTCCTGCCTCCCTCTCCTCCTCCACCCTCTCCCTCTCCTCCCTCCCCAACGCGTCACTCTGGAGACCGGAATGAGTGTCTTTGTGACTGGAGCTGATTTTGGGGTCGTGCGGTTCATCGGAACCACCCAGTTTGCTAAAGGAGTGTGGCTTGGGATTGAACTACGGAAACCTAGTAAGTACATATTATTGACGCACGAAGCAAGCCTATCTAGTACGCGTCTGAATGAAACGATTTTCCTACATATTATGTGACGGGCAATACACGTACCGCAACGTTCTACCTGATTCTAAATACGTGCGAAAAACTGAAAGCCATGTGTCCAGAGCCACCATAAGTCCATAAGAATTTATATGGGGTTATAATACTAGGCGCTAATACTTTATACATGAAATTCTGCTTATTTAAGCAGAAACCCATGGCATCCAAACTGTTCCCCAATTGCAAAACGTTTTAACCCCTGGCTCATTAAATTTAACCCATGATATGTACCAAGTAGGTTTGATGATGGCAAGTATGCTCTATTCTTGCTGCCCACTCATAGAGCATACTTGCCATCATCAAACCTATACATAAATAATACCATTTGCCTGGCATCCAAACCGTTTTTTTAAAAACACTGCAGTGCAAAACTTTTTAACCCCTGCATGTCCCTTTAACCCTTCAACTCTTTCACTCCCTCTCCTCTGCAGATGGAAAGAACGATGGGTCGGTGAAGGGACATCGCTACTTTCGCTGCAAGCCTTCTCACGGACTGTTTGTCAAACCAGAGAAAGCCACTCATCGAGGAATCAACTGCTCCAAGATCCTCCCTAGCTCCAGCCTTGAAAACCTTGTGCTTATGATGTCATAATTATGTAATGTATGTTGTCAACTATAGTCCAAGGAATATAGTGCAGGTGTATTATGTGGTGAATGGTGGCCCACTTGGTACATGTTATCCTGGCAATGACTTGAGAACAACTCTTAACATCGTTTATGTATATGATGTCATCATTATGTAATGTATGTTGTCAACTATCGTCCAACAAATTAAGTGCGGGTGTACTATGCGGTGCACGGTGGCCCACATAAATAATATCCATTTGCATATCAACCGCACATAATGTATAGAATTCCACGGGGGGACAATTTTTCTGCCACGGAAGTTCCCGGGGGACAGCTTTTGGGGGGGACTAATTTTCGTGTGACAAGCCCAGTGCTAATATGCATATTGGCTTTTCCGCTTGTTTTCACGGCATATCTCTCGAACGCAGTCGTTTCAGGAAAATCGCCCTTTTGTTTTTCAGGCTCGCGTAATTCTGAAGCCGCTGGTATGCCTCGTAGCCTGTAGTGCCAGAATAAGCATCGACACACACACACAGACAGACAGACAAACCAACTACCGCAACCCTCGCTGCTTACAATTACATGGAACATTGGATAATAAGGCATCATAATTATTTTCTTTTATACATAATATCTGTGAAGCAGAGATCGACTGTTATGATAAAAGTATGGATACAGTAGCATTTGGTGTTCTAGAATATCTGAATTCTGTTGTTGCCATAGTCACATACGTGTATAAAACCATCAACACCAGAAGTGATACAATATGGTCTACGAAACTCTCCCTCTTTCTCACCAAACCTTCCAAATGAGGTGACAAACTGACCTGAGGTGTCATACACTACAATACAATCACCATTCAAATCAGACACATACACATACTTGTCAGCAATAAGAAGACCTGATGGCAGACGCAGTTTTCCCTCTCCTTCCTGACCAAATACTCGGAATTGGCCACTGGTGTCCAATACTTGCACTCGCTCATTACCAAACTCAACTACATACATGTTCCCGGCAGTGTCAAATTTGACATCATCTGGTGCATCTAATTCACCTCTTCCTTTGCCACGTGAGCCAATGGATCGGACAAAGTTCAAGTCGAGGTCAAACACCTGAATGCGATCGTTATTGCTATCACACACATACACTGATGTCATACAGTGTTACTCCACGTGGAACATCAAACTCCCCCTCCTTACTGCCCCTCTGACCAATACATTTGATCAGTTCACCACTGCTAGTGAACTTCTGCAGCTTGTGCCAACTGCTCACATAAATATTGTCAGCATCATCAGTTGCTATGCCTGCAGGGGATTCCATCTGATCTGGACTGTCACCACGTGATCCAAGTGTTCGAATTTTATGTCCTCTGATGTCAAAGATAGACAATCTATGACCCCAATAACCACTGACAATCATCTCCTGATGACTGTTGAAGGCAACGTCATATGGACTGACCAATCCAGTCACAGTCCTCACAGGGTGGCCTAGTTGTCTGGGGTCAGGGTACACGGTCACTGTGAAGGGGCTGCCGTTGATTTCTCTGTCGTTGACTTGAACATGGAGTTTTTGTTGGCCTCGACTGACTGGTGTGTACAACACCTCGTATTGGGAGGGAGGTTTTCTAGACCACGGCCATCTACTTGTTGTTTCGGGTGGACTAGTGGGTGTGGATTCAGGTGCATTTGTGGGTGTGGCTTTTGAAAAGAGCTCAAGTTGTGCCGTGACATTCAGTGGAAGTGAGTATGGTCTACCACTGGAGTCAGTTAGTTGGACTAGGACGTGTGTTGGTTGGTTGACTGTGGCTGATGTTAGACCAGGTCCACTGACCTGACATGTGTAAGAGTGCTGGGACAGACAGAGAGCGAAGAGTGAATAACAAGTGAAAACTTTGTGTTTGGCAAACTATAAGGCAATGTCTAACATGGCTATATATTGCAATAGAGCTGCGAAAAGAAAACACTACCTAATACTTGGACTTAAAGGAAAAAAACCGAGTCCAGCATTGCCAAACACACACTATCTTTGAAGAATCTCCAATTGTTGTCACGTGCCCCAATGCCCCGATCGACAAACGTACAAGACTGCAAGTCAAAATGCTGATTTGAGTTCAAACCAAACTGGGGTTAGATCCAAAGAGCTCGTACCAGTTCAGGTGCAGAGTAATAGTGTATGAACACAAGGATTATCCCCAAGGCTCTTCCATGGACGAGGCCAACCTGTTTAGAGGTATGCAATGCATACACTGTTCAACTTCGGTGCAGCTTTAATAGCAAACGAGCGTTACTTTCTCGCTGGTAGGCCAAGTGAGAGTCCCAGGGAAGACGTTGACAGCGACAGTGGTAAAGGGACGGGAGGTGGTAAAGGGAGGGGGGAAGGGGCTGGAGGAGTGTGACAATGGGACTTACCTTGACCGGCACCTTCGCAAACCCCAGGGGAGTGTGTGCAACATGCTTATGTCATTGCATGCAATTTAGAGACCAGAAACTTAAGAAGATTTAGAAGTCCACGCATCGACAAAAACAATATTATTATTGCAAATTACCGAGCTCGCTAAGTAAGAAAAACAGTAGTCTTGTTGCCATAAATGTATGCTATTTTGCTTGCTTTTGAGTCCAGAAAGACTGTCGAGTCAATGACAAAGGAGGGCAATTTGCGATAATTTTTACTCACATTCTTATTGGCTTCCCACACCTCACCCCCATACTCTAAAGTTGGCCTAACCACCGTCGCAGGTTGTTGTTGCTGGCGGTGGTTAGGCCAACTTTAAAGTATGGGGGTGAGGTGTGGGAAGCCAATAAGACTCAGGCAGCTGCGTTAGAGTCCGTGATGCTGGGAGGAGCTAAGCGCATTCTTGGGTGTTCGTCTAAGACATGTAATGAAGCCGTTAGGGGGGATATGGGGCTTGATACATTACAAGGACGTAGGGATAAGAACAAGTTGAAGTGGTGGTATAAGTTAGCGGCATTGCCAGGCAATAGGTATCCGAAGAAGCTTTTTAATCAGGAATGGAATTTTAAGCCACGGAGAGGCAGGCAGAGGAAGGGTTGGAGTAAGTCATTGATGATCTCTTTTCGTCATTAGGTCTTGACAAGGCAGAGTGCTTGCATGATATTCAAAATGGGGATTGCTCCTTGAAGGGCTTTTTGTCTATAATAGGGGACAGTATTAATGAGAGGGAGATTACAAAGTTTGAAGAGGGGCTAAATAGCAAAGTAAGCTGTTATTGTATAAGACATTTAACAAGGTGGTAGAGTTCAAAAAGTACTTGCATGGGAAAAGTGATGCTGGGTCTAGATTAATGTTTAAGTTCAGGTCAGGCACGCATGGGCTAAATGAGGAACTGGGTAGGCATAGGGGGAGGGAGGGGATGAAAGGAGTGCCTGTTGTGTGATGATGAGTGTGAAAGTGTGAGTCATGTGTTGTGAGAGTGTCCAGCATATAGTAGTCTTAGGAGCAATTTCTTAGTTGCCCTGCAGGGGAAGCTTGGGGATGATGGGTTTGAGCATTTCCAGTCGCTTGATAGTTTCAGGAAAGCATCCTTTATATTGGGTAGTGAACTGTGGGAGGATAAATTTGGTTCTTTGCTTGGCCTTGTTAAAGATTTTATTTTGGATGTTTGGGAGCTAAGAAAGGTTAGGTTATACGGCGATAGTCCCCGCGTACAACAAACCCAGTCTCAGATTGCGTCTGGGGAGCTGCAGGGTGTCGCTGGTGGAAGGGGTGAGTTGAGGTGTCTGGGAGGTGAGACAGACACCTCATGTTCATATGGTGTATGTTCGTTTGTTAACGGTTCCGCCCATTGCTCTGGGTGCGTGGTCTATGGCCCTAGTGCTATGGCAGCCACCTGAGTATTACACATATTTACTCACATTCTTATAGTTACCACACATACGCTTACACATTCAGGTGTGTGAAATTAGAGCTCTACTGATAATTATTCATAGCCAGTGAATTGAGGGAATACCATTCATGACTGACCTTCTCCCCCAGTTGCCGCTGAAGCAGAGGCATCTCCCTGTCCTTGGCCGGCACTAACTCAGTCTCCTGCAGTCAGGAGGACCTCTAGTCACAACACACAAATCCACACACTAGACTAACTCTCTGTCTCATCTCCTGAATCTGCTGCTCCTTTTCCCCCAGTTGCTGCTGAAGCAGAGGCATCTCCCTGTCCTTGGCCGGCACTAACTCAGTCTCCTGCAGTCAGGAGGACCTCTAGTCACAACACACAAATCCACACACTAGACTAACTCTCTGTCTCATCTCCTGAATCTGCTGCTCCTTTTCCCCCAGTTGCTGTTGAAGCAGAGGCATCTCCCTGTCCTTGGCCTGCACTAACTCAGTCTCCTGCAGTCAGGAGGACCTCTAGTCACAACACACAACTCCACACACTAGACTAACTCTCTGTCTCATCTCCTGAATCTGCTGCTGCTCTCTCCTGATAGAGTCCTCTGCCCTCACCACCTCTGCCTCCTTTCTTGTCAGCTCTGTCTCCTGCAGAAACATCAGAGGGAGAATGTTAAACATGCTTTTGCTAAAAACTCTCAGTTTCGCTCTTTCGTTTGTTTGTAACTGTTCATCCTGAAAAGCAATCGCATCACGACTTCGTAAAAACGTCTGCTAAAAATGCTAAACACTAGTTTTTATTGACCCTTTGTATCAACTGTTGCCGAGTTTCAGCCAAGTCAACTTCCTTTCTTGTCAGCTCTGCTTTATTTCTCGTCAACTCTGTTTCCTACAGTAACCAAGAGAGATAATGAGTGCATAATGATTAACACATGATCAAAGTAATCACTTTTCTTGTGAGTTCTTGTCTGAGTGTCTGCATCTCCCTCTCAGTTGCTTGCAAATGTTCTTCCTGCCATCACAAAACAACACAACACTTGACTGTGCCACTTAATCATCTTTAAGACTAACATTATGTCTCAATTGCTGCTGTGCTGCAGTTAACTCCCTGTCTTTAGAATGCACACGGGACTGGAGATGAGCATTCTCTGTCACCAGGTCTCGGAGAATACGCTCCAAATTCTGGTAGAATCACAAGATTTTTTGTCAACATTATCAACTGATACCTAATGAGTGTGTAACAAGGCAGACAACAGAAGCTACACCCACGTTGTCTCATGCACCCCTGAACATTCCCCACCTGCCCCTGACTTACATACCCACATGTTATCCTGTTCCCCTGTATAACTCTCCCCTTACACTAACACACTATAAAAGCACCTTGCTAAATTCCGATATGTGAGCTCGACCTGATATTGCTATCCCTGAGGAAGCTGCAGAAGCTACAAGTGTACAGTCCCTCACCTGGTTCCTGGGCTGGGTCTGAAGAGCTCGTACCAGTTCACGTTTGTTCCTCTCACTCCCTTCATCTCTAACACAAGCTCTGGCCTCTTCCAACAGATGAAGCACCTCACGAATACTCGGACGTTTGTGAGGGCCGTTGTGCAGGCATTGCTGGATCAGCCGAATGAGAGGGTGGTCCCCACGGGAGCTGGCCACAGGCACGGAGTTGCTCGTTTACATATCGCATGTATTCGGCGCGTCGTTGTAGTTCAGAGCGAGCTACTAGCAACCCAGTTTCATCATTGAGATAGTTGGGCTCTAGAGGATCACAGGGGAAGACTCCACCGATTGCGAAAATGGTGACAACTCCAAGCGAGAATACGTCGATGCTGGCATTGTATTTCGACTTTTGGGTATTTGATTGAGTTGGTGCAAAAGCCTCTGGAGGCATGTAGACTAAGGCCCCAGGCCCGTTTGACATGGTGGCTGCAGCTGTCACACTATGAACGATACGAGCCACGCCCAGGTCCGCTATCTTGGCCACCATCTCCGAGTCCAGGAGAACGTTTCTGGCCGACAAGTCGCGGTGGATGACTGGCGGCGATCGCTCGTGTAGGTAGGCCAGGCCACACGCTACGTTGTGCAGTACGGAGCACTTGAGAGCCATGGAGAAGAAAGATAGCGGTGTGACGGCGCCGGACGGAGGAAGCGTGTCTGGAGCAAGCAAATCGTGAAGACTCGTCAGCAGTCGCTCCATGACGAGGGCTGGCAGTCGCGAGCCGGGAAAGAAAGCGACGCCCAGAAACAGGACGATGTTCGGGTGGCGGAGGGTACTCATAAGCTGACATTCCCTCACGAACTGGGTCCCGGCCTTGGCTTCTCGCAAGAAGGCGTAGATTGTTTTGGCGGCGGCGCCCACAGAAACTACCACCTTCTCCACTTTGCCGTAAGCCCCACCGCCGATTTCGGTGCCAGTGAACGGTGGACGTCGGAGAGAACGAAGGGCCTCAGCCTTGGATGGTCGCTGAGAAACTCTTCAGCCATTTTTGGGACTGAAAAATACGACTGAGCCCCACCCTAACATTGTGCGCATTCACCTTAAGAGTCAGTAGACTGGGATGACGCGATGGTAGTGTCACGTGATCCGCGTACAAAACGATTAAAACTAGGTGAGAATCACTCCCTAGTCATTCAAAACATACTAGCAATAGTCTACGGGCCATATCTATCTATAATATGTCCCCCAAGACCTCATACGCACCTTCAGAATGCGCTCATACGCGATTTCACGATTTTCGTGTCATCATAATCATCATAATTCTTCTTCTTCAGACCAGCTAGCTAGCTCCTTACCGGAAGCACTTGAAGCGTTGATTTTTCACAGAACGTCTCCGAATTTGCCGGAGGTGTGCACGCACAGCGATCGTTTGTTTCTTGCCGCAAGTCCCACAGAATTGGCGTTCTTGAGTGTGGCCGATTTTGATGCCTGTAGCGGAGGTAACGGACGGACAGACAGACGGAATGACAAACAGGTATATCAATACCCGCTATCTCCTTACCAGTACCAGTTCAAGTTAACGGGCAATGAAAGTCAGAAATTTCCAAGGGTTTTCTCTGAAAACGCTCCGTTGCAAAGCTAGAGCGCTTCCACCATTGTACGGTAGTCGGGCATTTTATCGCTGCGGAAAATGCGCATGCGCTTATTAACCTTGACCGTGTCCGCTTGCTCTGTGTATCTTGAAGGTACAAGAAGTCACAACGGAGAGCGTGTATCGACTCTCGCATGCTGTCTACTACTGTAGCTAGCTCGTGTCAGACTCTCTAGCACCACGGGTAAACGTATACTAATAGCGGTACAGCGCATACGCAGTTCGCCGAGGGTTTGCACTTTAGTGCTTTTCATTGTTCTTGTGAGGGTCTCCCACTCGTACGGTGAAAAGCATGGCAAAAAGCTATCCACTATAATTACCAGGAACACTTTCACTCAAAACTGTAGTGGGCGTAGGGAGAAATCGCAGGGTCTACCCCGGCCGGCCACGCGCGCATGCGCCGCGAGGGTTTGCCCAGGTTTTCTGCCACTACATTAAAAGAACGATATTATTTATTGCATCATTACACTGGCTTGATTTTTAAAATTTCATAATTATCATCACATGGACCGACATGTTTTTTCCTACTCTTTATGAATCATTGCACAGTTTGTTTTACTCGTGCATAAATTACAGTGTTATTACAACAGACAATAAATTGTCTAATAATTTGCGTTTCACAAGAAAATAATCGGAACACTTGAGCTCTGTCATTACCATCAACGTAGTTTGGTTCCAGTGGATCACACGTGAAGGTTTCGCCGATTGTGAAAATGGTAGCTAACAACTCCAAAAGAGAAGATATATAGCTAGCTAAATGCTGGCATTGATTTTTCATTACTTGACTGAGTGGGTGCGAAAGCTTCTGGTGGGATGTATGCTATGGCCCCAGGTCCCTTTGTCATGGTGGCTGCGGTATTTACACTAGGTAAGTTGCGAGCTACACCCAGGTCTGCTATCGTGGCTACCAGCTCGTGGGTAAGGAGAACGTTCCTTGCAGACAAATCGCGGTGAATAATAGGGGGCGATCGTTCATGGAGGTAAGCTAGGCCGTGACCCACGTTTTGCAATACGGAACACTTCAGAGCCATGCAAAAAAGGGCAGTGGTGCGGGGGAGCCGACTGGAGGAGGCGCATCAGGAGCCAACAAGTCATGAAACTTGTTAGTAGTAGCTCCATGACCAGAGCGGGCAGTCGCGAGCCCGGGAAGAAGGTAACGCCAAGAAATTGGACAATATTCGGATGGCGGATTGTGCTCATAAGCTGACATTCCCTCGACGGAAGCTTTAGGCGGTTCCGCAGCAGTCCCGTCGCCTTCTTGCAGGAAGTTGTATATGGTTTTGGCGGCAGCTCCTACTGGAACAATCACTTCCTCGACTCTGCCGTAGGTCCGCCGCCAATTCTGGAACCAGTGAGCTCCACATCCGAGAGGACGAACGGCCTGAACACGGGATTGTCTCGAAGAAACTGTTCCGCCATAGTATAATACGTAGAACGTCAAACTAGCTATATACCCACGTCTTGCGTTCTAGATTTTTCTGCATCTTCGACTTCAAGCTCGCTGCTTCTTCGATGAAAGGCGTCTCTACGATGCAAAAAAATATAAAGACCTTTTTAGCTTCCCCCAGCGAGAGCGGAAGACGACGGACTCGGACTATTTGACAGCCAGTAGCTACGGCCTTCGTCTAAATAGGTTATGCTGCGCGTCGATGGAAATACACGATTAGACGGCCTCGGAGCCCTTAGTAGCGCCTTCGCTGCGCTCAGACAGCTACAGCTCGGTGTCCCTCGGGCCGTCTAATCGACGCGCAGTCGGGAGGGCGCAATGGCCATGTGTCCGCATTATATAATTATAGCTCGCATGGATTATGCGTTGCTGCCTCCTCGATCTATTAGCCGGCGAGACTTCGTATAATTAACCCTCGGCGCGCATGCCCAGCGAGGTACTTGGTTCGTAAGTGTGTCTGTGTGTCCCTCTGTCTGTCTGTCAGTCTGTCTGTGTTACCACGTTTCAACAAACTGGCGAAATTGTGACGCCAACGAGTTCAGCGCTACACTGGCTTCATTATAATACTGTATCACCCACTCACACATCAGCTCACTGGACACAAGATACACAAACAGTTTTGATACACAACGACTCACGATCAATCTTTTACTAATGCAGAGGCGCGCTGATCTTTATTGCCACCCTACTACGTCGCCATCATGCCAAACTCTGTGCTTACACGCATGCGCACTAAAGGACGGCACTGAAGGGCGGTAATAATGGCTGAAAAGTTTCTCCGCGATCATCCAGGGTGAGGCCCTTCGTTCTCTCCGACGTCCAACTCACTGGCACCGAAATCGGCGGTGGGGCTTACGGCAAAGTGGAGGAGGTGGTAGTTTCTGTGGGCGCCGCCGCCAAAACAATCTACGCCTTCTTGCGAGAAGCCAAGGCCGGGACCCAGTTCGTGAGGGAATGTCAGCTTATGAGTACCCTCCGCCACCAGAACATCGTCCAGTTTCTGGGCGTCGCTTTCTTTCCCGGCTCGCGACTGCCAGCCCTCGTCATGGAGCGCGACGCGCTGAATACATGCGATATGTAAACGAGCAACTCCGTGCCTGTGGCCAGCTCCGTGGGGACCACCCTCTCATTCGGCTGATCCAGCAATGCCTGCACAATCTCCCATCCAAGAGGCCAGGTATTCGTGAGGTGCTTCGTCTGTTGGAGGAGGCCAGAGCTGGTGTTAGAGATGAAGGGAGTGAGAGGAACAAACGTGAACTGGTACGAGCTCTTCAGACCCAGCCCAGGAACCAGGTGAGGGACTGTACACTCATTAGGTATGAGTTGATGTGTTGACAAAAACTCTTGTGATTCTACCAGAATTTGGAGCGTGTTCTCCGAGACCTGGTGACAGAGAATGCTCATCTCCAGTCCCGTGTGCAGGCCAAAGACAGGGAGATTGCTCGGAAGGTATAGAGCACAGTGTATAGCAGACTTAGGGAATATATTTCACTATGTTGACTGTTGTAGGATGAGGAAAGTGAGAGGGAGAAGCAAGCGCTCAGACAAGAGCTGACAAGAAAGAAGCAGAGACAGACACAGAGTTAGCTGCAGCACAGCAGCAATTGAGACGTATTGTGAGTCTTAAAGATGATCTAGTGGCACTGTGTTGTTTTGTGATCGCAGGAAGAACATTTGCAAGCAACTGAGAGGGAGATGCAGACACTCAGACAAGAGCTGACAACAAAAGTGAGTATTCAGCCACGATTTGGATGACTGCCACTCTCTCTGATGTTTCTGCAGGAGACAGAGCTGACGAGAAAGGAGGCAGAGGTGGCGAGGGCAGAGGAGACTATCAGGAGAGAGCAGCAGCAGATTCAGGAGATGAGACAGAGAGTTAGTCTAGTATGTGGAGTTGTGTGTTGTGACTAGAGGTCCTCCTGACTGCAGGAGACTGCGTTAGTGCAAGCCAAGGACAGGGAGATAGCTATGCTTCAGCAGCAACTGGGGGAAAAGGTCAGGTGTACCCTCAATTCACCTGCTATGATATCAGTATATATAGTCACTCACCTGAATATGTAAGTGTATTTGTGGTAACTATAAGAATGTGAGTAAAATTGTTGCAAATTGCCCTCCTTTGTCATCGACTCGACAGTCTTTCAGGACTCAAAAGCAACCGAAATAGCATTCATTAACCCTCGGCGCGCATGCGCAGCGAGGGTTACAGTAGTCGTTCTGTCTGTCTGTCTGTCTGTCCGCACGAATTCCAGCACTACAGGCTATGAGGCGGGAAATGAGTGGCACCAACGGGTTGTGAACAACGAGGAGATGGATATTAACGTGGCGATTTTCCTGAAACGACTGCGTTCCAGAGATATGGCGTGAAAACAAGCGAAAAAGCCAACGCGCGGTCGATCGCGCACGCGCCCTCTCCTAGCTATATAGCGCACACGCTTCATAGCATGCGCTACGCCACGTTGGTTGTATATACGATCCACGGCCTCCTGTCAGTTTTGATCTCTGTTCCCTATGGATAAACGATAAACATGCTGAGCAAGGTACGTTCGCAATGTAGCATAATAGTTCAGGTGGCGAGCAGTTTGTGGTTGCGGCCTTGCCTTCCCATCTATAAAACGTCTGGCGAGAGCATTGAAGAGCAGATAGATTGAATAAAGCAAATACGAGAACCTCTGAAACACCTGGAGCTATTGCTCTAACCGCTAATGCAACTACCCTGTGTTACGGTGAGACTCGTGTTAGCTATATACTGGCTCCGTCGATGATGCACGGCCCAGCATAGCTACAGCGATGCTACAACTCGCTAGTTTACCGCCGAGGGTTTGCACTTTAGTGCTTTTCATTTCTTGCAGGAAGACTACTTTTTTTCTTACTTAGCAAGCTCGGTAATTTGCAGTAATGATATTTTTTTTGTTGATGCATGGACTTTTAAATGTTCTGAAGTTTCTGGTGTCTAAATTGCATGCAATGACATGCGCATTTTGCACAGACTCCCCTGGGATTTTGGGAAGGTGCCGGTCAAGGTAAGTTCCATTGTCACACTCCTCCAGCCCCTTCCCTCCTCCCTTTACCACCTCCCGTCCCTTTACCACTGTCCCTGTCAACGTCTTCCCTGGGACTCTCACTTGGCCTACCAGCGAGAAAGTAACACTCGTTTGCTATTAAAGCTGCATCGAATTTGAACAGTGTACATATTGCATATGTTTAAACAGGTTGGCCTCGTCCATGGAAGAGCCTTGGGGGTATATAATTCTTGTGTTCAAACACTATTGCTCTGCACCTGAACTGGTACGAACTCTTTGGATGCAACCCTTCTTTGGTTTGAACTAAAAGCAGCACTGAATTCATTTTGATTTGCAGTCTTGTACATTGGTCGATCGGGGCATCGGGGCACGCGACCACGATTGGAGATTCTTCAAAGATAGTGTGTGTTAGGCAGTGCTGGACTCTTTTTTCCCTTCAAGTCTAAGTATAAGGTAGCGTTTTCTTATCGCAGCTCTATTGCTATAACTATACATAGCCATGTTAGACATTGCCTTACAGTTTACCAAACACAAGGTTTTCACTTGTTATTCACTCTTCGCTCTCTGTCTGTCCCAGTACTCTTACACATGTCAGGTCAGTGGACCTGGTCTAACATCAGCCACAGTCAACCACCCAACACACATCCTAGTCCAACTAACTGACTGTAGTGGTAGACCATACTCACTTCCACTGAATGTCACCGCACAACTTGAGCTCGTTTTAAAAGCCACACCCACAAATACGCCTGAAGCCACACCCATCTGTCTGCCCGTAGTTACTGTCACCGAAGAAACGATGCCTACTAGTAGATCGCCGTGGTCTAAAAAACCTTCCTCCCAATACAAGGTGTCGTACACACCAGTCAGTCGAGGCCAACACAAACTCCATGTTCAAGTCAACGACAGGGAAATCAATGGCAGCCCCTTCACTCTCACCGTGTACCCGGACCCCAGACAACTAGGCCACCCAGTGAGGACTGTGACTGGCTTGGACCAACCATATGGCATGGTATTCAACAGTCATCAGGAGATGATTGTCAGTGAACGTCGGGGTCATAGATTGTCTATCTTTGACATCAGAGGACAGGAAATTCGAACATTTGGATCACATGGTGACAGTCCAGATCAGATGGAACACCCTACAGGCATAGCAACTGATGATACTCACAATATTTATGTGAGCAGTGAGCACAAGCTGCAGAAGTTCACTAGCAGGGTGTGAACTGATCAAATGTATTGGTCGGAGGGGCAGTAATGAGGGGGAGTTTGATGTTCCACGTGGAGTAACACTGTATGACAATCAAATGTATGTGTGTGATCGCAATAACCATCGCATTCAGGTGTTTGACCTCGACTTAAACTTTGTCCGATCCATTGGCTCACATGGCAAAGGAAGATGTGAATTCAATGCACCAGTTGATGTCAAATTTGACACTGCCAGGAACATGTATGTAGCTGAGTTTAGTAATGGGAGAGTGCAAGTAATGGACACCAGTGGCCAATTCATACGAGTATTTGGTCAGGAAGGAGAGGGAAAACTGCATGGGCCATCAGGTCTTCATATTGCTGACAAGAATGTGTATGTGTCTGGTTACAGTGGTGATTGTATTGTAGTGTATGAGATCTCAGGTCAGTTTGTCACCTCATTTGGAAGGCGTGGTCAGAAAGAGGGAGAGTTTCGTGGTCCATACTGTATCACCTCTTGTGTTGATGGTTTTATACATGTATGTGACTTTGGTAACTGCAGAGTTCAGATATACTAGAACACCAAATGCTACTGTAACCATACATTTTATCATAACAGTCGATCTCTAGACCACACCCCTTTTCCAACCACTTGTTACTCTCCTTAACACGTTTCAGACTTATTATTTAACCACAATGTGTTATTATCCCATGTTTCATGTAATTGTATCCACTATCATCTTTGTAGCGTGATAGGCGTCTAAAAATTGTGTGGTTCAGTGTTTAATAATAATAATTATTGTACTTCATGTTTGTAACAATGTGTTAATGGTGCAGTTCTCTGTAAACTATTGTGCTGATGTGACAGTTGATAATTTCATCATTTCGTATCTTGTTCTCATTTGTAATAACTCATGTATTATACTATTCGTGTTAATTGGTCTTGTAGTCAGCACTCGTATAATACTGTCTTTCATAAAAACATTTCTCTCCTATGCAACAAATATTAGGGTAATCTGACAGTTTTTAGAATTCACACATAGTTTAATACATTATGTGCGGGTGATATGCAAATAAGTATTATTTATGTATAGGTTTGTTTGTGGCCTGCAAGTTTGTATAGCGCTAATGGTGCTGAGTGTGTGTTAGTACATATTAGATCCCGGTGATTTGAAATCGCGCAATTTCATTGGTCCAAACGCGGGATCTATTTTCCGTAGATCCCGCTGCCCCGGACGACGGGATCTATTGGGGGGCGAGCGTGAAGATGCGATAGGTGAGAGACTCGAGCGAGGTTTCAGCTACCAGCGGCGAGCCAGAAACGGTAGGCGAAAGCTACAGCACTCCCTCGTCGTCCGCCGTGCTTCGCGGAAAAGGGCTCCGCCCACTCTACGCGCACGTATGTGCAAAGCGTTCGAGGATTGGCTCGCGGCAAGCATGAATATGTCGAGTTCCTTCTCGGAGTCTTCCTGGTCTAGAAAAGATAGTATCTCGTCGCTGAACAGCTCGCCTGGCGTGGCCATATCTTTGCAAGGATCTAAACCGGCACTCTACTACGCGTGGTAGAGTGCCTCGGGCTCCCTAGTAGCGCCCTCGCTGCGCTCGGGACGCCGACAGCTCGGGAGCCCTCGGCACTCTACCACGCGTAGTCACCTCGGCTCCGCATCTAACCTATATATAGTTAGACGCTGATTCGAGGTAACTACGCGCAGTAGAAAACCGAGAGCCCCGGCATTGTGGCGCCCCGAGCGCAGCGATGGCGCTACCCCCGGGGCACGAGGCTTTCTACCGGCGCGTGGTTACCAAGGAATCAGCGTCTAACTATTTTAGAGTGAGCGCGCGCACACACACACTCACAAAATCGTTCAAAATAGACCTTTCGAAACTGTGTGATTTCGACATCTTTGAACTGGTTGGACGACACGGACGAGCTAACCGACTACCTACTAGCGGCAGAGCGCGCGAGCGAAGACTACGAGAGCACGCATGCGCTTACTGCGACTACACAACCGCCGCCGCCGCCCCCCCAACGGCTGTTCCGCGGACATTAATATCGTTATCGCGTGCTGGCCGACCAGAGATTTGTAATCGCGGGATATAGCAACGTATAGGTGTAGTTGTAGTGGACTCGTTGCTATGGGGTTTTCTACCAATCCGGCGTTACACACAGCGCTCAATGGTTGCAAAGAACATGAACACTAACTATACATCACCATGGCAGCTTCGCGCAGCTAGCTGCCAAAATTGTTTACAACTGCGCAGGCCGTCTTTGTTGCAACCCGCGCCACGGGTACCCCGAAAAACCCGCTCAGTGCCAGCTTCACAGAGTTTTTATCAACGCAGAGCCATATGCAGTAAGAGCACAACAAACCGTACTATAAGGTAATGGCGGGTAATTCGGAATAGCGGGTAATTCGGAATAACTCACGTTGCGGCGGCTATTTTATAAAATATTTTGGTCAGGGCAGGATGTCACTGTTATTACAGGTAGAGTTGGATGTTAGCTTATACATACCTGTATTGCGCTCTATGTCCGTCGTGTCTCTTGCGTGAAGAGAGCTCAAACTTTCAGTTGACTACTGACTTCAAAGATGATAGGTGATCGGAAACTTCGATAGGCTGCTAGAAGTAGAGTAGACTACGGCGATCTAAAACAGCTAAAGCAGACTACAACGAAGGTAAAGACATCGAACATGCAAGCTGCCCCACAGCCAGTTTCAGTGTAGCATACCAAGAGGTCAAAGTTTTGCGACGCGCGCAGCTAGCTCTGGCGAACGCACACCTATGCGAGTAACGGTAGCTATAGAAAACAGTAATCACGACGGCTATAATCCTTTGTTTATGTGCAAAATAGTGTATATTTACCTGGATATGTACGCTGCAAGCCATACAGGTTCGACGTATCGCTACTGTAGCTCTACTATTCCGAATTACCGGCGCATGCGCATAACGGACGGGACAGAGAAATCGGTATATACCGCGCGGACAAAGTAAAATTGTTCTGTTTTCGGCATGACAGAGTAAAGGTTAGTGTATCTCTGCGTTGGTTATAGTATTCCCTGGTGTTGATCTGCAATCAATTTTTCTGAAGTTCATTCCGAATTACCCTCCCTTACCTTACCTCGCACAAGACATCGCTCACTAAACATTTTTTGTCAGCTCGCAGCAAGCCCAGAGAGGTGGGGCCGGGTACCTAGTGCACGCGACGGCACTCCACACACACCCACTCATCAATGGCCATAAATATCATTTGGAACAGCTACAAAAGCACTGCAGAGTTTGTGCTTCCAACTTCAATGCCAAAGTTCAAAAGCCTACAGATATCCATGCTCCTCCATAAAACCAGAGCAGTGGGCAGCAGTTGGCACTGACCAGCACTCTGACACCCAGACATTCACCCACCAACAGTGTGCCTCAGTTGCTAGGAGAAAATGACAAGAATGGCTAATGGTGTAACAACACTTAGTGAAGCCTACAACTGGCGTCATCCTGAAGGTTGTGGGTGCACTCCTCCTCCGCTGTCCAGCCTGCAGTGGAATCGTTCAGTTACACGAGCTGAAGAATCACAGTGAGAGTAACTGTGCTCCCTATACTGTCCAACCACCATCGGTCCAGCTGGACGACGGAGAACAACAATTGCTTCCAATCCACAGACGCGCGTGGTCCCACCACCCATACCGCTCGTAAAAAAATGTTTAGAAGGCAAAAGCACGACCAAACTCTTCTACAGGGCCTACACAATACTGTTAGTCGCTCTTTTAGGCGTTAAAAACTGTGTGACAGACGCTGCCACTTACTTCTTTCTCCTGTTTCACCCCTGCCGCTCTCGCCAAACCATCCCTTCGACCGGGAAGGAAGACGCACCGTCCGAAACAGCTACAAACAAGCTCCCTCGTGGCGGAGGTTAAAAGTTCACAATAACAATTAGCTAGCCGTTTCCCCGGGGCAAAAAGAACTGGCCCGTTGCCACGCACGCGTTGTTAAGGATTACGTAATTTTAATGTGACGCATATAAATGAGCACGCGCGCGTAGGACGCGGAACAGCCGTGCCCCCCCGGCCGGGCCCGGCCCCCATCGCCAACCAGCCCCTCCCCAAAATCCGTATATAGCAGCCCCTCCCCTCTCCCTCGTCTTTTTCCGACGCGACGGACCCCGGCGCGGCGCGGCGGCCTCTCTGCGCTGCCACAAGCACCAGCCCCACCCCATCCATAGCACCCTCTCCCCTCTCCCTTGTCCCAACTTCGAGTTCTGCAGTGCCCGACAACAACACTGGCAGCGGCCCTTCTCACTGTTCTATGTCCTCAAGCACCCCGTCAACTTCCCGATTTGCAACCCCGAAGACCAACCAAGATATAGCGGAGGCAAGAAAGGATAGAGTTCCCCGACGCACGCAACAAAATACGCTGTACTGTACGAGGCTGTGGGATGAGTGGCGTAAGCACCGAGACACCGTCACTGGAGTCAAAATTGCACCATTCATCGAACTTTCTGAATCTGAGCTAAACCACCAGCTCACATGTTTCATCTTGGAGGTACGGAAGGAAAGATGGCTCCTCTACCCACTAACTCCCTCCATCACTTAGTGCTGGCTTGGTTCGCCATTTGAGACAGAATGGTCGAAACATAGATATCTTCAAGATCCTGGATATTCCACCTTCCGGGCTTCATTAGATGCGGAGATGAACGGATCTCCAGAGAGGAATAGATCAAAATGAGTCAGAATAGGGTCAAGAGGAAACAGGCAGGAGATGAATCACAGAGGAGGAGGAGGAGGCTATTGTGGGTTAAGGGACTGCTTGGTGATTGAAACGCTCAACAACTTCTGGACACAGTGGTGTTCTACAATGGCATATATTTTGCCTACGCAGTGGTCTAGAGCCACCGTCAGCTTTGACGCAGCCTTGCCAAATTGAGGGTAGTAGAGCGACCTAATGAAAAGCCCATTACATCCTCTACACCGAAGGCATTTCGAAGAATCGGCTGGTGGCTGAAGGGGCGCAACACAAAACCCAAGATTGTGAAGCATCACGCAAACCTGAGGTCCACCACCGATGCTTCGTCCGCCTGTTCAAGATGTATCAGTCATTGTGCTACCCTGATGCTCCTGAGGGGGCATTCTACCTGCAACCAGCTCACAAACCTACACCAACCTGCTGGTTTTCAAGGAAACCCATTGGTCATAACACACTGGCCAAAACGGTTTCAAGAATGTGCAGTTCTGCCGGAATGAGGGATACAAACAAAAACACTCACTTCGTGTGCGCAACATCTACGTA